TGTTCAGAGTAAAAAAAAGCACTTCCATGGATAACTTGATACAAAAGAATGATGCTCGACATAAAAAATTAAGCCTTGCCAGGCATTTTTCAACGGTATTAGCAGTTACAGTCGTATAGTTTCAAGTATGTAGAGTGCAAGAGAAGGTGCGTGGTAAAGGGGGCCCAGATGCGCGGGCAAAAGGGACTCTCTTTTCTCACCTCTCTGAATGATAATCCTAAACCTCCTTAACTTGTATAACTTTTTTGTAAGTCCAAAAATACGTACATGCACTTGAAACATGAAAATATGTAATATTTACTAAACCTTGACAGCACATAATATAAAAGAAAAAATATTCTTATAAACAAGAAGTGTATGTTTTTGTTCCAATAAAATGTGTACTTAGTACTATTCTAGTGTAAAACTTACCTTAAGTAAGAAACATTTTTCTTAAGAATAGTGTTTTTTTATTAAATTTCAAGCACCCTACTTTTTGCAGACTTAGTTGTTTCAATGTTTCAGTGATCTAAGGTGAGGAGATTGGTTTCTAATGCTTCCCCGTTGGAGACTGTCGCTTTTGCTAAGGCTTGTTTTTCCTTTCTAGCTGCTGGATTAGCCTAGTGCAGACTTTGGAAAAAATCAGTAGCTCCTGGTTAAATGCTATGAGTCAAGAGGCGAATATAGAGTTGTCGGTTGCCGGGGTTCGCAGCCTTTTGACTAACAACTCCACTTGTGACGTATGTCAGTGAGAATATATTTGTAGGCAAGGCAATTTATCCTTAGGTGGCCCTTTAAAGAAAAGATGAGATTAATGGTTAAGCAGGGAATGTAAATATTTATAATAGCCCCGAAAAGGGCCAGTGGTAAGACTTCCAGCTATTCCTTTTTATTTTTCTGAATAATGGAGAGCTGGCTGTGGGTACCTTGACCCTTACCATTGGAGTCTCTGCGTATAGAGACCGTGCTGGGGGAAGTACTCAGGTCACCAAAGAATATCTGGTCTTTGGATCGCTCCCTGGATAAACATCCGCTCATCGTTAGTCGGGAAAGTGGGCCTAGAAAATACCTTGTCTGTGGGTATGCCATTGGGACGACCACTAAGAAGAAGGCCGTTGTCCTAGCTTGAACTTCTCAGAGTTGTTATCCCTGGCTTGCTGTTGAAGCAAAATCTGTTGTGATAGCTCCAGGATGGTTGAAAGAATGGCCATGAAATTTCAAATTGCTAGAGTAGATTGTGCTCTGGCCAGACACGTTTCTTAGCGTTTTGCTGGTGACGTTATTAGTCAGAACATTTTTTTATTGATGGTGGAAAACAGTGTTGTTGGTTGTCAGGATATCCAGCAGCACAAATTCTAGCAAACGTGACAGTCTCCAATGGGCAAGCATCACGAACCAATCTCCCCACCCTAGATCACCAAAATAACTGATTTTACAAAAAAAAGTTGCTTTGGACACCAACGTCTTCATTGTCATAACAGAAGACGTTGGAAAAAAGCTCTACAACTAGCTCCAAGCTTTTTAGTTTTCCTCCTGATTAGTCTGAAGCTACAATAACGAAAAATGTATTAGAACCTAATAAAGTTGACAAGAAACTGTCTTCAAGGCTTGCAAAAGCCTTAATTATGTCGAAATTCGTAAGAGGGCTAATTGGAAGGAAAATTTCAAATGCATTTAATGTATACATTTTTTGCATCAAGAAACTAGTGTAGAATATATATAGGGATTAAAGCAACAGTATCAAAATCAACAAATGAAGAATTTATTAAGTAAGGGATTAGTTTATAATTATAACCCTCACAGTAGTCTCTTGAACTTTTTAGATTCTTAAATAGGTAGAGTAATGTGTATTTGTATTTATTGAAGCAATAAAATATGGAGAGAGTAAGCTCCAAGACTTTGTTGCTCTAGTACTAAAGTTGTGAGATTGGAAAAACAACTTTTCAATTGTATACTTTTTTTTGTCAGTTTTAAATGCTTATAGTTTTAACAAGTAGCCCTTGTCATTTATTATAACGTGAAAAAGTACAAATCAAGAGCCCTAGAGGGCCAGAAATAATTTTATGGCGTATAGAACGCACAGTACTTTTCAGCATGTTTATATTTTTTCAATTTTAATAGCTTATTATTTGACCAAATAAACTGTACGAATTTTAAACAAATATTTTTTTAATAAAAATATTTTTGTTCTGAGAAGTATCAGGAGTAAATGTAAAATTTCTAACTGGAAACGTTCCTCATTACATGTCAACACACTACGACGTTCCATATAGTGAGCCTCAGGTGAAGCCGAGACGGGTGGGGGGCCGCTACTGTTAAATATTTACATTTTACATTGGTCTACAACAATCATCTACTGATGCATCACATTAAAATATAAGATATTACAAAGTACCTGCTCAATTATTTATTACAAACAGAAATAAATCTATGTTGCTTCCTTTACAAATTCTACAATAAATTATTGCTGACGTGCAGGACTATTTTAATCAAATGATGAGTCTACTTGCACCAATATTTAAGATAATGTTTGGTTTTTTATACCTTATGATCAACGATAGTTAACTCATTTTCCCTTTCCTTATTGTTAACAACAATTTAGAAAATTTTTTTTAAAACTGACAAAATACTGTCCCTCTATTTATCAAAGAAACAATTTTTAATTATAACATTAGCATGCATAAAAAATTGTTGAGTTGATCTTCTGGTATACAACAAAGGACTGAAAGTTTGTTCGTTAAGTCTGTATAAATATTATTGTGTAAGAGTTATTTGCTTATTACTATACTACTGTTTAAATACTATTACGGATAATTTTTACTGCATCCTTAGTCACCTGACGATAGCGACAATAAGAGAACCATGAGTCTAACAAAATTAAAAAGTTTATTTAAATATGCCTATTAAGGATAATTTTTTTAATAAGTTTGTATGTTGGTAAAAAGATCATAAAAAACTCATACTTGGAATTTATTTTCTGGGGATGGCACGCAAAACACGCAGAAGGTTAGAGCCCGGATAAAAATTTTTAATGCCTTTATTTTCGAAGAATAAGTTTTAGTAGGAACTTTCAAAATTATTAACGAACAAAAACAGTTGATAATTTTCTTACAAACCAATAACAAAAGTATTTCCTTCATGTGACGAAGAATATGATATTTAAAATGAAATGATGTTAATTTATAGAATATACTTAAATATAAGAAAGATTTACTATAACAAAATCTTTACGCAATAATTATTTTTACTTATTCTTCTATATTTTTCCAACATTACTTCTAATGCGCAGCGATATGAGCTTGAAAACAATTAAAAGCACAAAAAAAAATAAAGAAAAAAAAATCTAAAATTAATGTGAGTTCTGTAAAACTTAATAATTACTTCTTGCAAGGACGACCACCTTTACTTTCGTTGTGACAAGTTTTTGTGGAAAAACCAATTCTCTTAAGAAATCGTAAAAAAATAGTTATACAACAATCAAATAGTAAGTATAATAATGCAATTCTTATAAAAATAAAATATCTTTGGCACAAGCACGGCACAAAATTTGACACGGTATCGGTTGCTAAACTACGTGGTATCACAATAAATAAATTGTAGAGATCAAGAAGCCTCTGGTACGAAGTAAAGCATGTCTACAAAGTTACCTCAAATAGTTTTACTGCCTCTGTAACGAGGAATCGTCATTAGTAATCGTAATAAGAAACTTTGTTAAACGCACACTGTGCAACAGCATTTAACTAATAAATACTTATTCTTTGTTCACATTTTCGTATCTTCTCTTTAACTATGAAATTTTAATAATATTAGTATATGACAAAATTTTATTAACATTGTATTGCAACGATACGAAATATAGTAAATTAAGATTTCAATAGTAATATATTTGGATGTTGCAATGTGAAAATTCATGACTCACATACAGTCTGAGACCTCCGATTATTTTCTCACTACGATCAAAACTAGCTCAATAAAACAAATTGCTTAGTTCTTATCTTTTAAATTTTTCAGATAAATGACACAAAAATGATAAAAGACATAAAACTGACTAAAAAATCACGTAAAGTACCTTTTTTTTATTCAACGCTTCATCTTCTTACGTAAAGCTTGTGCTTTATAACATAATATAAACGTTAGTTTTATTTACTTTTTGAATAATACACGCTGGAAATTCGTAAGTTATCATATCCATGTTACTTAAATACAAAGAAAAAAATTAGAAAGACTTAATTAAGGTTATTCGTTATTTTTTTTTAGCCTACACTAAAATAAGTATTTAGAATAACCATAGATTTCTTCAAATACCAATCTTCAAAAGTTTTTAGTATTATACAATACTATGTGTCTGTTAGTACAAAAATTTGATGGTGCATTAAACGTAAGAAGACTCTTGGATACATTAAAACTAGAGGTATTGAGTATCTAGGTACCAGTATTTTTTGATACTTCGATGAAATATAAGTTCAAGCATCGACTTTTTGACAAAATAGTTGTATTGCCGTATCATGATATTTAATACTACACTTGAATTCAACTGTTAATACTCGTTTGTTATTTATTAAACATGGTTATGGGTATAAAATGTTCAAGTATAATATTCTTATTACTCAAAATGATTATTATCATAAGTAGATAAAAAAAGTACGTTAACATAAAAATTATAAATATAACAACCAGTTTAACATAATAATACATGAAATATTGCACATTTCATTTGTTATAAAGAAGTCAGTTAAATAAGGCCAAAAATAAATAGTTTACTAGTAACGGTGGTAAGATGGTGTTATCCTTGAGAGTTATGTAATTTTTTTAACCCTTAAATAAGGCCTATAATTATTAATGTTTGAAAAAGAAGTTACATTCATCTATCCTTTAAATATCTTATGTCTTCAATAAATAAAATAACTTAGACTTCTATTGAGTTTACCCAAGAACTTAAAAAAAAAACCTTTTTTTAAGTAACTAAACACATGAAAACCTTTTCTAGGATATCCATGCATAAGAAATTATAAGTTAAAGACTTAGGCTTTAAATCTTTCGTGATTAGTTTGTCTCAGCATTATAACATTAACACCTTTGAAAATTCAATAAAATTATTAACTTATATTTCACCATTACTATTTAGTTAGTTTATTCAAAGTTTGTTTTAAAAGAGGTTTTTACTTTATTTTTATATAGTCAAATTGTTGACTTACCATTGTTTGAAGTAAGCGGACTTTGATAAGCATTGGTTCTTTCATTACAGAAAGCCATGATCTCCATAATACAGCTTTAAATTGTTCTATCCAATTAGCTTTATATCTTAAATTATCTTTAAAAGTACATTGACTGGCATCGTATGTTAGTGTAACAGTACAATAAAGCTGTTTAATATTATTAACAATTTTCTTGCCCGTAACACTTTCTATGAATGCATCACAGATGCTATTGACAGAATGACGGCATACAACTTCTTTTCCTGGAACTATAGCAAGTAATTGGATATAAAAGTCAGCTGGGTTATAATTACTAGGACAAGGTGCTCCTAACCTAGAAAAATAAAGTGTTAGATATCTACTGAAATGCTTAAATTCAAAAGTAATAGAATTTTGTTATCATATTTGGTCACTCGAAACATTGACTGCTAGGCTACTTTTCGTAGAAAAATTGCAAGACCCTTGATGTGATAAGTAATATATTAAAAGTATTACTTGTAAGAAAAAGAAATAATTTTTATTATACACAAATGCTCATTATTATAGAATTAAAATAAAGCAAAACCATTTATAAATAACGAGGAATAAAACAATTTATGAGCGCTATAAATATCTTTCAAGTAACTTAGCTCAAACAGGTAAGGTAAAAAGAACCTTACTAGTTCTTCCGATAGCGATGAATAGGTATATTAAGAAATGAGTCTAATGCTTGTTGATTAGTTGAAATTTTTATGCAACTCAACGAGGTACACAAGTAATATTGATACAATCATAACCACATTGTTTGCCAGATGTATAGTGTGACCATCTCTCACCTAGAGTCCCTGCCAAACTGGTAAAATTGTACTTATATAATGGACTTCAAAGTTGATCTCCTATATTAGCCTATGGTAACGTACTAAGTGAGGTGTGGCGGTCTGATCCCTTCGCACCCGCATTCTGCTTATCATTTTATTTTTTTTCGTACAATCAATTTTAAGAAATTAGCATACGTTAATCCTTATTATTTGAATGATTCTTATCTTTTACTGTTGACGTTGATTCATGTATCGAATAATACGATTTTGACTAATATATGTAGTTGTAATTTTCTATGCAATTAAGTAAATTATGTTATATTTAAATTACTATGAGTACATAAGCTCTTGTGCATAGTAAATCTGAAATATATGTTTGAATTTTTCACATGTTCAATTTTGTTTCTTTAATGACAAGTCATATACTTTTATCAATGATCCTTTAATCTCTGATTCTAGAAATTTGAAAAAATTACTAGTTTTATTCAAGCTTATTGGTAAGAAATCCCGTGTCCTTTTCTCTTTCCTCGTTCCTTCCTTATTACTTTCATGAGGTGTATAAGCGAGCAAGAATTTAGTGTTAAAACGTACTTTTTATAAAAAATAACGTGTTATATTTTCATATACAAGAGTGAGCTGTGACTCAATAATCTCATACGAAGTCAGCACAGTGACAATTTCCTCAGCAAATAAACTCATGAAATACAATAAAACGACATTATACATGGGGAGACTTTTACATAAACACTCCTTAAACCATCCATGGTTTCGAGCTTGAGGTAAAAAATTCAGAATGTATACTTCTTCAAGCCTACAACGAAAGTGAACGCATGGCTCTTGAGTAGCTCAAGTAATAAAGGAACTGTCTTGCACACAGGAGGTTTTTTCATCTGCACCCAAAAATGCTATTTTTTTCATTGTTACTTATTTCTTATTTATCAGTAAATCTTAATTTTTAATCTTAAGTATATTTGTTATCAAAAAAGGCATGGGTGGTTTGAAGATTGCTTTTAAGGAAGTGATAAAATACACACACACACACTCAAACACACACACACATATACATAGATATCTTCCTATATTATTTAGTTAACTCAGTGGGGCATTCCAAACAAACCCTCCACCACCCCCCCACCAACTCCCCACAAAATACGGTAAAAATCCGTTATTTTTTTGCTTATTTTGACATATTGTAGTTTTTCTCAGAACCCCCCACAGCCCCCCACCGACCCTCCACACATTTTTTCATGGCCCTCCACTGCTCCCCCACCGACCCCCACGAAATATTATATAAATAGTATAGAAGTATAGCATAAGTCTTTATTCAAGCCAGGGGGTTCAACCACGTTTGGCTTCATGGGATAACAACTTTGTATGTTTTAATATTTAATCAAATAGTTACAGATTACTGCACAATACTATAATCAGCTAAGCTTAAATACAATCAATTGTATTCCGATTTACTGGATCCCTTGGTTTCTTTGTAAGCATAAAGTTTTTGGTGGGCTGACTTTTTTTGTTAGCATTTTGTAAAGTTGCATTTTGCCAGCCCTGTCAGTGTGTTAAAGTCTATTACCACATTCCTACCAAATCACATGGAAATATTGTATAGTATTTTTTCTCAAAACATCCCACATTATCCCACCTACCCCCTATGGCCCTCCCACTGACCCCCACGAATTTTTTCATGGCCC